AACTTTATCGCTTTTGGCCAGTGGAGGTTTCCAAAATGCAGTTGGCAACGATTACTTGATTAGATTAGGCCAAAGCTCAGTTTGCGAAATAGTGTGGAATGTGGTCAATGAATTGGAAACAAAGCTGTGCCCCCATTTTATAAAATTTTCCCCTGAACGCTTTTCTCAGTGCGCGGAATCATTTGTACAAAAATACAAAATTCCTGGAGGTATGTAGTTAAGGACACAAAATCTCACTCGTAAAAAATGGTTTTCTAAGAAAAAAGTAATGCTTATAATTTATTTGTTTTGCAGTTATTGGATGCATTGACGGAACACATTTTGGGCTACAAAAACCAACTCACAACGAGCACATGTTTTTCAACCGTAAAGGATATCACAGCATCAATTCTATGATAGTACGTAGATTGCACTATATTCAAAAACTAAGTAATTTTAATAAGATTTTCTTTGCAGATTTGTGACCATGAATACAGGATATTGGCCATTGATTCAAAATATGGTGGAGCCTCTCATGACTCTTTTGTGTGGAAGCATTCAGCACAAAGGCAATTTTTGGAAGAGCAATATAATCTTAACAATTTGAAGAACGTTTGGCTTTTAGGTAATTAATTTTAATGCATTAAAATATATTAGTAATATTTTAATGCAATTAAATACATATACATATGTCCAATTCAATAGGAGATTCGGGATATCCTTTAGAGCCATGGTGTTTAACGCCTTACAGAAATCCTGAAGAAGATTCAAAGCGAGCGCGATTCAATGAGGTTCATGCAAAAGCTAGGTGTATTGTTGAAAGAACAATAGGAATTCTTAAAGGTCGCTGGAAAATCCTCAGCAATGACAAGAGAAGTCGTTATAGGCCAGAAAAAATAGCGAAGTTCGGCAATGTGTGTGCAGCGTTGCATAACGTATGCATACAATTTAAAGATCCGTCATATTGCAGATATAACGTATGCGAAAATATTGAAACAGAAGTGGATATTGGAAACGAAACTCATTTAACGAAAATCGGCCAAAAAATAAGAGATCAAATAATGCTCTCGTTATCGAATACTATTTAGTTATAACACTATACACAAGAATTCATTCAATACTTTATTTATTTCTAAAGAAAGGAAAATAAAATTAATTTATAAGCATTTTTTAATTCATTCTTTAATTGAAATTACAGTTCAACTCTCAAAATCAAAAAAGTAATCATATTCTTAGATTGAAATGCACTTAAAATTATAATTCAAATTCACAGTCGTAAAGATTAAAAAAAAAATATTTGCGTTTTAAAAGTATCAATTAAGGTAACGATATGTAAAAATATATTGAACTATTTTGAATATGAATTTTGTAAAGCAGCGAACTCAAGGCGTTTGATTTTGAGTTCCAACTCCTTGACGGCCATGTTAGCCTTGTGAGCTTCTTCCTTCAATGCTACCGATCTTTCTTTAAGTAAGCGCTATCAGTCTGTCCAACTTACTGCTTATGTTGCTTTGAGATTCTTCAGACGCATTAAGGTGTAATTTTAGGAGTGCAAGCTTTTCAGTCTTTCCTTGTGCTTTTACACTTTTTCTCGAGGTAGTGGGGTATTCGTCTTCTTTCTTACTTCCGCTTTCTTCCTCATCACTGGCCAAAAATTCTTCTACTGTTTCCTCGATTGCTTCCTCGGGCGCTTTCATTTTGGGGCAATACATTACCAAAACATCTGACAGAATGTAGCCCTTCTACTGAAACATCCAACCCGGCAGCCTGTAGAATTTGTTCGTCTGCCGCCGTCAAAGGCTTTTCCTCGTAAGGACCACCGCCAGTTCTCTGCTTCGACGCCTTATTAAAGGAAAGTTTCTTTTTCACATTGTGCTTTTGGTCAGCAAATACCTAAAATGTATTAAGAAAGGGAGTACTCTCAATGTTTTTGATTTTCAACCTGGCGCCCTCGGACTTTTACCACAATATATTTGCAAGAACGTACCTTTCGCCATGTCTTTGCATCCTTGACAGGGGGACCTGCGCCATTAAGTTTCACTGCCAAAGCCTCCCATAACCTATTTGCAGTTGCTTTGCCCTGTCCGGAATTCGGTATAACATTTTTGGCCAAGTGTTGGTGCTCCAGCATATATTCAGCCATCAGACTTTTTTGCCGCATATTAATTTTATTCACATTCGTCCTAAAAGCATTGTATAATTAATATTTATCATTAATATTTAAAAACAGTAACTTACATATTTTTTCTCTTATTATTTAACTAGTTTTTCTTGTTAAAATCAAAAATTTGTATGAATTACTTGTTACTCGTTTGAAAAACGCCAGTCGAATAAAATTTCGTTGTCTTCGAATGAGAAAACACTCGTTAACGAGTGGCGTAATAACGAATTTCGAATGAGCTCACTCGATAACGAGTGCGGTGATGTCAAATCGAAAAATTTCGAACAATTTGTGTCGTTCACGACTGCCGCGATTCGGGCCCAGTTCAATTAATACAAAACTTATTTTTTTTTTGGGTTTTTTGACATTCTTGTTATTTATTCGTTTATATAATAAACAAATCAGCGCTCAATGAATTAACATTTTAAATACAGTACACATTTTTCTTTTCGCATACATTTTTACATACATATAGGATTGAATGCCCAGCAGTGTGGGCAACTTACTTTTTGTCATAAAAACGTATAAAAACTTGTAATTAAAAACAAAAATGCTCCTGCATTCAAGCGTACGTGACTGCCATCAACTTAGTGAGCAGAGACAGAGACTTGCCATACGCGAATGGTCTTGTCAGAGTAGCCAGCGAACAAGGTCTGACCATCGGTGGACCAGGCTAACGACAAGCATTGTGGTGGATCGGCCTTTGAGCTGGTCGACACAACTTCGGGGCGAAGCTCCTCAACGGTCTTCTTGCATCCCAAATCCCAGATTTTGATTGATGGACCGTATGCAACGCACAACCAGTAGCGGTTGGGCGAGAAGCACAATGCATTGATGATATCGTTGTGCTCTAAGGTGTACAAGTTCTTGCCATCATTCAGATCCCACAACAAAGCCTTGGAGTCCTTGCCACCAGAAGTGCACAATGACCGTCAGGTGAAACAGTCACGGTATTCAAGTAACCATTGTGTCCATGGTGGTTGTTCTTCAACTTGCAGTTGGCCAAATTCCAGACCTTAACGGTGCGATCCCAACCGCACGAGACAATGATGGGGTTGGAGTGCTTGGGCGAGAAACGTACGCATGACACCCAATCGGTGTGTCCATCTTCTTGGATGGTGAACTTGCACTCGGCCAAAGTGTTCCACAACTTGATGGTCTTGTCGCGTGAGCCAGAGACAATTTGACGATTGTCGG